CCCCTCATGATTCCTGTGGCCTCGGTGTGTTTTCTGGTGTGCCCCTCATGATTCCCATGACCTTGATGTGCCCCTCCTGATTCTCGTGGCCTTGGTGTGCCCTGGTGTGCCCCTCATGATTCCAGTGGCCTTGCCTGTGCCCTGGTGTACCCCTCCTGATTCCAGTGTGTGCCACTCACACTCCTGGCAGGAAAGGGCGAGGGCAGTGGGATGAGCAGTGTGCTGGGGATGGTGCAGGTGAACGGGCTGTGTGGCTTCATCCATCCCCCCTGCAGACACCAGGACTGAGGGGAGACATCCCGGGCTGGGGCGGGTACAGGTGCCCTTGGGGCAGTTCCCGTGGGATTACCGGCACCGTCAGGAACCGTCGGGATTGGACACGACCCTGTGGGGTCTCGGGGTGAACCCGGCCGGCCCAGGTGGTGCTGGGTCCCTGTCCTGAGGGGCCCCAGTGGTCCCTGTCCCGGTGGTCCCTGTCCTGAGGGGTCCTGGTGGTCCCAGTTCTGGTGGTCCCTGTCCTGAGGGGTCCTGGTGGTCCCAGTTCTGGTGGTCCCTGTCCTGAGGGGTCCTGGTGGTCCCAGTTCTGGTGGTCCCTGTTCTGGGAGGTCCCAGTGTCCCTGTTCCAAGGGATCCCAGTGGTCCCTGTCTTGGGGGATCCTGGTGGTCCCTGTCCTGGTGGTCCCTGTTCCAGGAGGTCCTGATGGTCCCTGTCCCGAGGGATCTCAGTGTCCCTGTCCCGGAGGGTCCTGGTGTCCTTGTCCCTGTGGTCCCTGTCCTGAGGGGGTTCCAATGTCCCTGTCCCAAGGGATCCCGGTGGTCCCTGTCCCGGGGGGTCCCAGTGTCCCTGTCCCAGTGTCCCTGTCCTGCTGTCCCTTGCCCCAGAGGGTCCCGGTATCCTTGTCCCGGTGTCCCTATTCTGGTGTCCCTGTCCCGGAGGGTCCTGGTGTCCCTGTCCCTGTGTCTCTGTCCCAAGGGATCCTGGTATTCCTGTCCCGGTGTCCCTGTCCCGGTATCTCTGTCCCGGGGGGTCCCGGTGTCCCATTCCCTGTATCCCTGTCCCGGTGTCCCTGTCCCAGTGTCCCTGTCCCAAGGGATCCCGGTGTCCCTGTCCCTGTCCCGGTGTCCGATTTCCCATTCCCGTTCCCATTCCCGTTCCCATTCCAGTTCCCGTTCCCATTCCCGTTCCCATCCCCATTCCCGTTCCCATTCCCATCCCCATTCCGTTCCCATTCCCATCCCCATTCCCATCCCCATTCCCATCCCCATTC